CTTTCAGGTTTACTGTGGGGGAGGGTGGCAGAAGGTGACCTAGGTAACATTGGACTTGTTTTTAAAGTTTGAAAACATTATTTTTCACACTGGATCTTTATAATTTTCTTCAAACCCAACCTCCATCAAATTGTGTGACCCTAGGATTACCCTCCCCCACTCATCCTCACCCCTCTGTTTCCACCCTCCCCACCTTAGATCCTAACACTCATTTTACAATAATAGTTTTATACAGTATTTGTCCTTGTGGGACTGAGTTAGTTCACTCAGCATTATGCTCTCCAGTCACTCCTAAGTTAGGTAATAATTCACAAAATCATTGCTCCTGCGTGCTGCATAGTATTCCATTGTGTGAATGTACCATAATTTCTCAATCCATTCTATTGTGGTTGGACATCTGGGCTGTTTTCATGTTCTTGTGATGGTGAATGATGGTGTTATGAACATCGGTGTACAAGTCTCTGAGCGTCAGTTTTCATTTTCTTGGGGTATATTCCAGGCAGTGAAATAGCTGGGTTATATGGATTTCTATGTTCAGCTTTTTGAGGAAGCGCCAAACTGCCTTCCAGAGTGGTTGCATCATTTTACAATCAGTAGGGAAGTTTTTACTATCTAGAAGAACAAGTGAACCCAGGTTATTGTTGTTATTAAAACACACCAAACAGAGACATGGAGCTGCAATACGAATCAGGGTTGTTAAATCACAGTGCAGGAAGTGTTGTGTATCCAGGTGAACACTTCCCAGCTAGAGGTCAGAGATGCAGGTAGAACAGACTTCACCCCTAGTTTGGGGAACTGCCATGATTGACTCAGGTTGTCACGACGTTGTGCCATGATGAGTCGAAACTGGTTTGACAAAAGTTTTTATTGGGCATGCTAGCAACTCAGTAGTGTCTTGGGTTTTCCGAGAGGCAGACATCAATGATTAAGGTACAAGTGAGTGGTGGAGAAATTACTACGAGTTAGAAGGTAGGACAAATTAGAGAAGCCAGTAAACAAAGGGTGTGCTATCCAAAGGGCTGAGAATGAGGCAATGGTCACTTAATCTTGTTGGGAAATTCTGGGCACTCCTGTAGAATGGGCACCTGGGAGTTAGCCCAACCCTGGGGTGAAGAAGCTGGAGTATTAGCATATCAACATCCTGATCCTTTCAGTCAGCCTGTGGTCAGGCAGTGGGAGGAGTGCGGGGGAATTATATACCAAAAAAAGAATTTTTCTTTTACTTTTTCAAAAAGAGGAGCAAACTGGGGTGGGGGGGTGGGGGGAGAGGGCTGGGCAGGGAGAAAAATGCAAGAATGAGTGAATGGAAATCCAAAATCTCTATAAATGTTCATTAAAATTATTAAAATAAAATTTTAAAACAACAACAAAACACATTACAGACAAAGAAATGAAGGTGCTGATGGTTGGCAAACTCATTCCATTTTTAGAATGGTTTTAAAGTTTGAATCAGCAAATGAAAGACCTCAGAGAGAACAAGTAAATGGAGTAGGAAAATGTAAGATACCAGAACCTCTATTGGATAGCCTTCCTCTTCTTCTTCACAATACTCACCATGCCTACCTGTGAGGAATGGTCATCACCGCGACAATATCAGGACAGGGAAAAAGGAATCTAGGGAGGCAGCAGCCAGAAGATGTTAGCACATATTCCAAACCCCTCCAATATTTTAAACCACAAGGCCTTCTGAAAGTTTCCATAATTAAGTGCAATGTTGTTGTTGTTTATTGCCGTCAAGTTGAGCACAACTCATAGAAACCAATGAACAAAAGGCCTTCTATAATCGTTGTCGTTTCTCCAAGCTCATAGAGTTTTCAGAGGCATGTTGTTTAGGAAGTAGATACCACTCCTGCTTTCAAACCTGTCTTAAACTGGGAGTATCACCAAACACTGTCCACCATGGACAGCCATTTTGACATGTGACCCCCGATGAGACAAGGTTCAGCATCACAGCAAACTCAGATTACTGTAGTCCAGCAAAATGACAGAGAAGTGCTGTACAATTTAAAAGAATGTTCCTCCAAAATAAAATAACACCAGACTCTTGGGTCCAACCAACTTTTAAACACAAGCTATATATATTTATATGTTTATGTATATGTTTGTGTATATGTTTATAATATTTCTATTTCTATTTCTAGATAGATATATAGAGATATAGGGATATGATATAGATACATAAACAAAAGGCCTGAAGTCTTTGTATAACTATCATCATTTCTCCACGTTCATAGAGTTCCCAGAGACATGTGGTTTAGGAAGTGGATGTCACTCCTACTTCTAAACTTAAATCAATCTGTGAACTCCACCGAACACTGCCCATGCTGGGTAGCCATTATGGTGTTTGGCACACCTATGGTACAGTTGTTCCATTATGGAATTTGAGACCCAAATGGCACAAGATTCAGTGTCACAACAAATCCAGATTACCTCATCACACCAATAACCAGGATGAAACTAAGAACTAACCAAAGCCAATGAGATTAGGACTCAACAATCCAGGCCTGAAGGCCTCCTGGTGCCAGTCTTATACTCCGGAGTGTTTTATTCTACAGTTTTCTGCCTCTATTTTCGATGCAAAATGGGTTCATACAGCACCAAACTTACTTCCAAAAAGTTAAAGAAAATGTTCTGATAACAATGGGATAGGAAACTCTTTGTGAATTATAGATCATTATGCAATTTTTCATCCTTAGGATTCATTTTCATTGCAGACTTTAAAAAGTATCAGGTCTACTGTTCACATCCATAAACCAGTTTTAAAAGGGAGAGATGTTTGGTCTTAGCCATACATTTTTCCCTTTAAATCCATGTATTTGTACAATCATAGCCTGAGATGTAAAATTAGCTTTAGATTACTAGTTAAGATGATTAAATTGCCACATTTAACCTGCAACGAAAGATGGATGATATGCAAGCAACCTACATGTAGGTGGTGGAAGTGGTGGATTGATTTGAAGCTGGTAGCTTTTATTTTTATTAATTGGAAAAGATACTGTACAGATAGAATTCATTTTTTATGCATTTTTTTTATTTCAGAATGAAAAATTTTGAGAGCAGTGATTTGGCATTTTCCCCTAAGGAAAACTTTGGAGACAACAGTGGACTCGCTGCTTATGTCGCTAACACAATAGACCCGTCCATCAGCTGGGAGGATATTACGTGGCTGAGAGGCCTCACATCACTGCCTATTGTGGCAAAAGGCATTCTGAGAGGTTTGTTCGGCTTTTCCTTTACTTGAATCTGTGCTAATTTTATGATCTTATGTGGACATGGTCACGCTATTTGTAAAGGGAAATAATCAAGAAAACTCAACATGGAAATACAAAGAGGTATTCAACCTGATTCACTTACTCTTTGATTCACTTTATGTGTGACCTTGGGAATATCATTTCAGTTGTATGTCTCCCAATTTCCCTAGAATTGGTAGAATTGGCCTGTGATCTTCAATGTTCCTTCTAGGATCCCTAAGTTAATGTTGTTGTTGTTGTTGTTATGTGCCGCCGAGTCGCTTGCGACTCATAGCGACCCTATGTACAACAGCCCTATACTCTGCTCTGTCCTGTGCCAATTGCACTGTCTCTGACACTCCCATCCTGATTATCCCAGTCACTGAATCAATCCACCTCATAGAAGGCCTTCCCCTCCTGCGCCGCCCTTCCACCCTCTCAAGAATGATGTCCTTCTCCAAGGACGGGTCTCTCCTCACAACATGTTCAAAGTATGTTAGATGGAGCCTCAGAATCCTTGCCTCCAAGGAGCCACCCGGTTTAACCCTTTCCAGGACAAATCTGTTTGTTTTCCTAGCAGTCCATGGTACTCTCAATACTCTTCTCCAGCACCACAGCTCAAAGGCATCAATTCTTCTTCTATCCTCCTTGGTCATTGTCCAACTCTCTGATGCATAACAAGTGATTGCAAAGACCATGGCCTGTATCAAACACACCTTAGTCTCCAGAGAGACACCATTGCTCTTCAGTACTTTGGAGAGGTCCCTAACAGCAGACTTTCCCATGGCAATGTGACTTTTAATTTCCTGGCTACTGGTGCCAACAGTGTTGACTGTGGAGCCAAGCAGACTAAAGCTGTGAACAATCTCAATCTCTTCACCATCCATCCTGATGCTGCCAGCTGGTCCAGTGGTGAGAATCTTCGTCTTCTTGACATTGAGCCTCATGAATTTATTGATTTGCTTAAATCCTTAGACAATTGCTCTCAGTACAGTCAAGGGGTGGGTGCCGAAGGTCAAAACCTCATTATCACTGAGTAGGAACCAACTCATATCTAATCCTCCAGTAGATTTTCAGAGGCTGTAAATCACATGAGACCTTATCTCCTGTCTTTCTCCCGAGGTGGTGGTGCTTGTGCACCGTTGAGTCAGAACTGTCACAGCTGACCCTTCAGTTGGTTTTCAAAGGCAGTAAATTGCATGGGAGGAGATTGTTCATTCTTCTCCCATGAAGCAGCTGGTGGATTTGAACCTTGTGCCTTTGGGATTGCAGTGCCCCAGTCACTGAATCAATCCACCTCATAGAGGGTCTTCTTCTCCTGCACTGTCCCTCCACCCTCCTGAGCATGATGTCCCTCTCCAAGGACCGGTCCCTCCTTACAATATGCCCAAAGCATGTTAGACAAAGCCTCAGAATCCTTGCCTCCAAGGAGCAATCTGATTTAACTCTCTCTAGGATGAACCTGTTCATTTTCTTAGCAGTCCATGGTATATTCAATACTCTTCTCCAGCACCACAGCTCAAAGGTATCAATTCTCCTTCTGTCCTCCCTAGTCATTGTCCAGCTCTCTGACGCATAGCTAGTAATTACAAAGACTATGGCCTGTATCAGACACACTTTAGTCTCCAGAGTGACACTATCACTCCTCAGTACTTTGGAGAGGTCCCTAACAGCAGACTATAGTTTCCACACTCTGCAAAATATTACAATGAAATGTACAAGGAGTTGGAGTCAGAAAATCAAAAGGGCCGAACTCGCTCAGCATTTCTTAAGCTCAAGGAACTGAAGAACAAATTCAAACCTTGAGTTGCTATAATCAAGGATGCTTTTGGCAGAATGTTCAATGATCCAGGAAGTATTAAAAGAAGATAGAAAGAATATACTGAATCACTGTATTGAAAGGAATTGGCAGACACAGAAAAATTTTATGAAACAACATATGAGGAAGAGCCTATGGTGATTAAAGAAGTTCAGGCTGCTTTGAAGGAAATGGCAAAAAATAAGGCTCCAGGAATAAATGGTACACCAATTGACATATTTCAGCTAACAGATGCTGCCCTGGATGTGTTCAACAAGTTGTGCCAAGAAATCTGGAGAACAACCACTTGGCCAACTGACTGGAAGAAATCACTTAAATATTACTGAATCTATAACTGAAAGATTAAAATTAAAATGGTCCCTACAGTTCTCAGCTGAATTAAACTCAGGTTTCTATAGTTCTCAGGTAGGTTAAACTCAGGAATGTTTTCCATTGTCCCGGGTAGAGCCCCACACCCAGTGTTCCAGGAAGAAAAGTCTGATCCTAGGGCAGCGGTATTTCGAGAATGGCTAACTACAGGGTAGGGCAAACAAGCAGATGTTTCTCGACTGATAACCCATGTGCCTTTGTTTCCTGACTGATAACCCATGTGTCTTGTGGTTTTCCACTGCCCTGGAGTTTGAACTCATTGTATGCTTAAGAATTTGTGAAACCACCCTATAGTTAATGTTCCAGGAAATAGCTAACCACAAAAGTTGGGCAAATATACTGATGACTTAAGATCTGTCTAACTGCCACATGTGCTACGTGACTGCCACATGTGCTACGTGCAAATATGCTGTGTAAACCATGAGCGAAAACCGAACCAATGAATTCAAACTGTGCTTTCATCACCCAATGAGAAGCTGATACCCAGTTGTATCCCCCTAAGGTGTATAAAAAGAGCCAACTTTGTCTGCTCGGGGTGGACACCTCTGTCTCCTGTGAGAGACACGTGTCGGCCCGGAGCTCCGCAATAAACCTCTCCTCTTGCTGTTGCATCAAGCCGGTGTCTTGGAGTCTTGGGTCTTCGCTGTCCGCTCGGGACAGGACCACCGGTTCTGGGGTCTTTCATAACATTGTAGGTAGTTCTATAACTTACTAATTAATTTAAAATAGTCAGATTCATTACTGGTTACACTAAAGATTCTTCTTATTATCAATTCCTTTGTGCTATCCAAATTGCAGAAGGGTAATTCTACCAAATTCTGAATTGTGATGTTATTATTAATAAAAAATAGCAGTGCTTCCTAATCAGATTTTAAACACATGTCAATTTACTATCAATAACTGTTATAAATATTGATGTTTCTTCAGTCGAGAAAGATACCTTGAATGTGTTTTAGAGCTCTCACTGTATGTATTCATGTAGGAAAGGTATGAAGGAAAGTGCAGTGTGTGTGCGCGCGTGTGTGTGGTGCATACGCTCATATGCATAGATGCGTATGTTCAGGGGATAGGTCAGCTTCCTTTAGACTGAGATTCTGGTATTTGTAAACCGAAGTGTCAAGAAGCTGCTTTGCGATTCTAAAGGCGTGCTGTTCAAATCCACCAGCTGCTCTGTGGGAGAAAAATGGGCAATCTCCTCCCGTGGGATTAACTGCCTCTGAAAACTCACCAGAGAGTCAACTATGGGTCAGTTTTGACTTGATGGTACACACCAATAAGAGGCCTACACTTTATATTGAGTTGCCATTTCTATATGATTCATCTTGCTTTTCCCCAGGTGATGATGCTAGAGAGGCCGTGAAACGAGGTGTAGATGGAATCTTGGTGTCCAATCATGGGGCCCGACAACTTGATGGAGTACCAGCCACTGTGAGTTTCAGCAAATGCTGGGGATTTGATTTATTTTTTTATTTTAAATTTCTATGTCCATCACAGTTTGGGCCGTCTCTGTGTCTGCCGTTTCTGGATAGACTTTTGTGAGGCCACTCAAGGCAAACTGTGGATATGTGGATCTTAATATTTAAGCTTAATGACACAATCAGCTAAATAGTGAATGAATTAATTCATTTGATTCCTTAACTTATAAATATTCATATCACACAATATGTCTGTGATCTGGACAATGAATGAGGATGATAGAAGAAGAATTGATGTCTTTGAGCTGTGGTGTTGGAGATGAGCACTGAGCATCCCATGGATGGCCAAGAGAACAAAAAATGTAGAGGGTGCAGCTGGAATGCTCTTTAAAGGTAAAGGTGATGAGGCTTCATACTGCAGACATGTTTTTAGGAGCAGCTGTGGGCTATTCCTTGGAAAGGGATGTGATTCTTGGAAAGGTAGAAGGTCAGGAAGGAGAGGAAGACCCTTGAACGAGTGCATTGATGTGGTGACTGCCACAGTGGGCTCTGATGTGTCAGGAAGTGTGAGGATGGCACAGGCTAGAACAGGAGTCTGATCTGTTTTTCTGTTCATAAGGTTGCTATGGATTAACAGATGTCCATATTATTATAATTTTGCCATATACAACACAAGTTTTATTCCATGTTCTTTTTGACAGATAAGGAAAAAAGTTCAAAGAGGCGAAGTTAGTTTCCTAAGCGTATACAGCAAGATAGTTACAGATCTGAGCATAGAATGTGAGTTTGGTTCCTGACTTTGCTCATCTCACTGAAAAAACAGAGCATCTTACTAAATTTTCTGTGGCAAAGGAGGCTATAGAATTTCTAAAGGTAGTTCTTTAAAAATGATAGCATTTACATGTGGCTGAATCCCTCAAAGGTACACAGACAATGAACACTATTATCATGCACTGACATTGCAATACATTGTGATGATAGAACCATATACTGACCATAAAACAGATAATTGCATACTAATCATTACATTATAAAATGCATTATAAAAGACACAGGTCTTGCTCTTCCAACTGTGTAAGCCCACTGAAACTACAGATAATTAAAAGAGAAAGTGCAATCAATAGACTCTGTGCTTTGATGGCAGGGGTGGAGGGGGATGGGTGAGTGGAAGAATGATATGTAAGGATTGAAGAAGTACTTATATTGTTATGAAAATAGGGGAGGGAATGAAACATTGATTTGCAGGTCTAGATTAATTTTGGAAATTATTAAGGCCTAATAAAGTTTGATGGCATCATTCTCATTGTGACAGGAAAAGAGAAAGAGGGAAGGAAAGGCTGCTGAGAGAAGGTGAGTGAGTGACAAGACATAGAACTTCTATGTCTCCGGTAATGGGTTGGAACTGACCCATAGGTGACCCTCTGGCAGGCTTTCAGAGGCAGTTAAGAGATTGCCCATCTTTCTCTCCTGAAGCAGCTAGTGGCCTCAAACAGCGTGCCTCCAGGATTGCAGCACAGCTTCTTGCTACTAGGCCACCAGAGCTCCCTAGGTGATGGGTTGTTGCTGTTATGTGCCATTGAGTCTCCTGCGACTCATAGTGACCCTATGTACAACAACCCTAAACCCTGCTCTATCCCTTGCCAATTTTATTGTTTCCAACACATCCATCCCCATTACCCCAGTGACTGAATCAATCCTTCTCATTGAGGGTCTTCCTCTCTTGCGCTGTCCCTCCACCCTCCCAAGCGTGATGTGCATCTCCAAGGACTGATCCCGTCTTGCAACATGTTCAAAGTATGTCAGACAAAGCTTCAGAATCCTGGTCTCCAAGGAGCAGCCTGGCTTCACCCTCTCCAGGACAAACTTGTTTGTTCTCTTAGCAGTCCATAGTATATTCAATACTCTTTTCCAGTACCACAGCTCAAAGGCAGCAACTCTCCTTCTATTATCCCTAGTCATTGTCCAGTTCTTTGATGCATAGCAAGTAATTGCAGAGACCATGGCCTGGATCAGGTGCACCTTAGTGTACAGACAGACATAGTTGCTCTTCAGTAGTTTGGAGATGTCTCTGATAGCAGACTTTCCCAATGCAATTTGTCTTTTAATTTCCTGGCTGCTGGTACCAAGAGTGTTGATTGCAGAGCCAAGCAAACAGAAGATGTCAACAACATTAATCTCTTCACCATCTATCATGATGCTCCCGATCGGCCCAGTGGTGAGAATCTTTATTTTCTTGATATTGAGCTTCAATCCATATTGAAGGCTGCAGTCCTTGATCTTCTGCAGCATACGCTTCAGATCCCTCTCGGTTTTTGCAAGGTAGTGTCATTTGCTTGGGAGGGTGGAGGGACGGCGCAGGAGAGGAAAGCCCTCTATGAGGTGGATTGATTCAGTGACTGGGATAATTGGGATGGGAGTGTCAGAGACAGTGCGATTGGCACAGGACAGAGCGGAGTTTAGGGCTGTTGTACATAGGGACGCTATGAGTCGCAAGCTACTCGACGGCACATAACAACAACAACAACAGTGTCATTTTCATAATGTAGATTGCTGATGAGTCTTTCTCCAATACTGATGCCACATTTCTCCTCATAGTTCAAAATAGGGTATTCTAATTGTAATCTTTCTAGGAAATTTGGAAGTTGTAAAAAAAAAATGGAACACATAAAGATTTATATCCTAGGCATTAGTGAGCTGAGGTTGACTAATATTGACCACTGAAAAATCAGTTAATCACATATCACATGACCTACTATGCCAGAACTGACAAATCAAAGAGGAATGGTGTGCCATTCATTGCCAAAAGGATTTCAAGATTTATTGTGAGGTACAATGCTATCAACGATAGGATATAATTCAAGGAAGTCCTGATAATATAATTAATATTCAATTATACACACCACTCATGGAAGCCAAGGATGAAGAAACTGAGGATTTCTACCAAATTTTGCAGTCTCAAATTGATCTAACATGCAGTTAAGATACACTAATAGTGATTGGTGACTAGAATTGGTGACTGCAAAAGCTGAAATAAAGAAATACTGGTAATTGGAAAACATGGCTTTGGTGCCAGAACTGAAGCTGGAGACCAAATGATTGAATTTTGTACAATCAGTGATTGTATTGTATCAATCAATTATATGTAATGTACTCATAAGATTTTTTTAATCCAAAGAATAATCCATCCACACATTGATTATATTATTGGACTTCGCTGGATGGGCTACAAATGTATCAAGTTGACTACCCCTGAGGAAAGAGACAGTGGAGATGTTTTCATCAGTGGGATATACCATCAAATAGTTAAATGCAAGTTTAAATTAAAGATGAAGAAGATTTGGAAAAGTCCACAAGAACTGAAGTATCACCTTGAGTGTAACTCAACTGAATTTAATACCATCTTTAGAAAAGGTCTGATGTATTGAACACTAATGACTGAAAGACCAACCAGAATGTTATCAGGAACATCATCCATGAGGAAAGCAAAAGGTTATTATAAAGCAAGGAAGAAAGATAAGATAAAAATGGCTGTCAGAAGAGATTCTTAAACTTGTACTGGAATAAAAAGAAGTCAAAACAGAAAAGAAGGAGTACTGAGATGAGAAAGCTGAACAGAAGATGTCAAAGGGCAACTCAAGAAGACAAAGCAAAATATCACACAGAAATGTGCAAGGAATTAGAGTTAGAAAACCAACAGGGGAGAATACACCTCACATCTCTCAACTTGAAAGAACTGAAGAGCAAATCTAAACCTCGAGTTGCAACACTGGAAGATTCTCTGAGCAAAACCTTTAACGGTGAAGGAAGCATCAAAAGAAGATGGAAGGAAGACACAGTCATTGTATAAATAAGAATGGGTTGTTATTGACCCATTTCAGGAAGTAGCATATGAACAAGAGTCAATAGTAATAAAAGAAGAAGTTCAACCTGAAGAAGAAGAAACCATTGGCAAAACTAAGATCCAAGGAATTTATGCAATGCCAGTTGAGGTGTTGCACGAAAAAGTTGCAAGACTAGTCATGCTCACCAGTCTCCACCAACCAGTATGGAAGACAGCTACCTGGACGACCAGCTGGAAGAGATCCATAAATGCATCTATGCCCCCAAAGGATGATCTAATAAACTGTGGATGTTATAGAATGATTATCAACCAGTATTACATGCACATACAATCTTGCTGAAGATTATTAAAAACATGGCTCGAATAACACAGCAACAGGGTACTGCCAGAAATTCAAACAGGATTCAGAAAAGGTTGTGGCAAGACAGACATCATTGCTGATCCTAGATGAATCTTGACTGAAAGCAGAGAATACCAGAAAGATATTTAATTGTTTTATTGATAATGCAAAGACATTTGTCTGTGTGGATATCAACAAATTATGAATAATATTGGGAATAAGGATATGGTGACTGTAGCAATGGGCTCGAACGTGTCTTGTATTGTGGAGATGGAGTAGGACAGGGCAAGGGTTAGATCTGTTGTTCACAAAATTGCTGTGAGTCATAGTGAGAGCACTTTTGGCCTAGTGGACAGAAAGTTATGCTATTAAGCCAAAGGTGGGTGATTTTTAATCTGCAGCGCTCAGGTCTGGTTTTAATTGTTTTTGGTCAAACATTCTTCTAAGTGGTATAACACTGCTCTGTTCCTATGTTGTACAGAGGTGAATGCTAAACACTGTGACACTGATGTGTCAAATGTGATAATGGTTACTCATAGTGGACAGTGTTTGATGGAATTCCCAGATTAAAACAGGTTTGGAAGCAGGAATGGCATCCATTTCCAAAATAGCTTGCCTCTGGAAACTCTATGACCCTAGAGACATGATGAAAGTTACCCAACTGTCCAGGTCTTTCGTTCATAAGGTCATTATGAGTCATCTACGACTTGATGGCACTCACCACAACCACCACCACCACCACCACCACCAATGAGAATAATGGAAAAAATCTATATGCAGACCAAGAAGCAGCTGGCCAAGCAGAACTAGGAAATACTGCATTAAATCAGCC